CTGATAAGAGAATTAATAGCTGACATAAGAAAAAGTTCTTTCAAATACAAGTAAATCAGCAAAAAAGAGAAAGCATGATTCGTCCATTTGCAGAGGAAAGAACATAAATAAAAAGTAAACATATTAGAGGACACTAAAAATTGCGTTATCAAAAAACTCAAATCAAGGAAAATTTTTTCATTTATCAGATTGGTAAAGGTTAAAAAGATAAATAAAATCTCAAATTGGCAAGATTACAAAATAGACTCGAGCATTGCTGATTGGAGTACAAATTATTGCAAATTATTTTGGGTATCAATTTGGTAACTGGTATCAAAACCCTGAATATGTGACATTCAACAAATATTCTAAGAATTTTCCAAAGAAGAACATAACGAAATTTTTTAAATAAAAGGTAAAGTAAATGTAGGATCTGGAGAGACAGTACAGCAGGTAGGGTGCTTGCCTTGAATGCTGCCAATCCAGTTCTAATCCCCAACATCCTATAAGGTGCCCCACACACCACCGACAGTGAATACTGAGTGTAGAGCCAGAAGTGAACCCTGAGCACAGACGTATGTGGCCCCAAAACCAAGGAAAGGAAACTGGGGACATTGGTGGTGGAAAATGTGCAGTGTTGAAGGGACAGGTATTGGACCATAATATGACGGAAATCTAATCATAAACAAACTTTGTAACTGTGTGTCTCACTGTGATTCAGTTAAAAAATGTTAAAGAAAATTTATGGAAATATACATTAGCAATTGGTAAGAATGTGATTGAACTTCTTTTTCCCACTTTGGTTTGGTGCCCTACCTGGTGGTGCTCAGGGCCTACTCATGGTTTTGCTCTCAGAGGTCACTCCTGACTGTCTTGAGACACCATATGGGATACCTATGTTGGTGGCATAGAAACAGTGCCCTACCTGCTGAACTATCTCTCAGGCCCTGATAGAACTTCTTTAACTAGTTCTTTGTTGCAGAGTATTTGATGGCTTCCAGTTTTTATGCTATTAGAAATAACATCTGAGTAAATATCATTAGATGTAGTAAAAGTGTTTTGAGCCACACCCAGTGGTACTCACAGCTTACTCCTGGATCTGTTCTCAGAGATCACTCCTGATGGGAACAATATGAGATGCCAGGGATCCAACCAGGGTCAGTGGATTGCAAGGCAGGTACCCTACCCACTGTACTATCACTCCAGCTCCAAACAAACATATCTAAAAGATTAAATTAGTTAGATTAAAAGATGTTTTATTCTTGGATGATCATATACCCTCCACCAAAGTTAGGAATATATATTCCCATCATGTGTAAAACTGCCTGTTTTTCCTCATTTTTTTAATCCTCATTTTGGCTTATCCAACACATTCTTTTTCTTTTGGGGCCACATGTACAATGCTCAGGGATCACTTCTGGCAGACTCAGAGGATCATATGTGGTGTCAGGAATCAAACTCCAGTTCTCTGCATGTAAGGCAAAAGCCCTATCTACTGTACTACATCCCACAAAAAAGTATTTCTTTTTTGTTTTGTTTTTTGGGCCACACCCGGCAATACTCAGGGGTTACTCCTGACTGCCTTTCAGGAATCACTCCTGGTGGTGCTCAGGGGATCATATGGAATGCCGGGAGATGGAATCCAGGTAGACTATGTGCAAAGAAAGTGACCTACCCACTGTAGTATCTCACTAACCCAAAGAAACTTTTCTTGACAGTGTGTCAAGAAGTAAAATCTCATGGTTGTTTTAATTTGCATTTACTCTTTTTATTTTTCTGGAAACTATTCACATCAGGTATTCTTAATTGATTTCTAAGAGATCTATATATAAAGGAAAATTATATAATCTATGCTACGAATATCTTTAGATTTTGTTTGCCCCTTAAACACCCTCTTATACATTTTTGATCATACACTTCTGTACGATAACACTATTTTGTCCTTCCTGCATAGCCTCAGGTAGTTTAGATTTATTGGGTTGCTCCAATCACAGTGCTCCCATTCCTCTGTGTTTATTTGTAACTTCTTCCCTTGTGCTCTGTTGATTTTGTAAATATTGTTTTTCTCTTCTCCATTTTGTATGGACACAAGAAGACAGTATATGCTATGCTTTTGTAACATGACTCTCAGTGTTATTTTCCTCTTGGCCATCTGTTCTCTCGACCTCAGCTGCCCTTACTTCCTAGCACCCCCAAAGGCAGGGTCCCGACAAGGGACTGGATGGAACCAGGGCAAGCGGTAAGCTATGTGTTACCCTGGCATCAAGATGGGCCTGACCAAGTGCCTAATGCTTAATTATAAGTTAAGAGCTTGGTCATGGACAAATGCTGTCATGATCCAAAAAGTAATAACTAGACTCAGACCCTGCTAGGGTTAGGAATGATTAATCTGTTGTGAGCACTGTAGTCTGAGTCTGTGGCAAGATGTTCCCAGGAGAGCTGCCCTACAAGTCTCAGAGTGGCTCTTACTGTGTCCATACAAAAATAACTAGTATTAAGATGTTGGTAGTTATTGCACCGAGGAAAGGAGAAAAACACCTTAGGAGTTATTTTGCCCTTGGGCAGTCAGAAAGGGCTTTGGAATACCCCAGGTGGCGTTTCCTGGTGGGCCCTCAGGAAGGACTTTCTTATGTTGATTTTGCTACCAGTTTGGGGCAGTGGGCCCAGAGGGCTGGGAGAGTTGGAGAGTGAGAGAGCAGAGCAATAAGATGGACCGTGGAGAGGCTAGCAAGGGGGACAAAAAGAGAAGAATGTAGAAGAATACAGGAGCAAGCACGTGGAGAGCGAGCACAAGCTGTGAGATGGAACCAGGAGACATGAGCGGGAGAGACAGAAGGAGATGGGAATGAGGAGCAGTGTTAGACTAGAATGGGGGACTCAGAGAGACTGGGGCAGGCGCGGGGGTAGAATGGAATAAACGGCATCTGATCAATCAACCAGCTTGGTCCTTGTTTCATCCACCATATGCCCCATGACCCAGGCCGCCCTGACTGGGCGAGCAGCCTGGGCCCTCCCAGAACCCAGGCGGCTAGGGCAAGATCCATCAGGACCTTCCCCTGGCCGCCCATAGAGTTTATACACTCTTCAACCAACCCTAAATAATTACTAGTAATGACATAGTGAGGCTGGAGCGATAGCACAGCGGGTAGGGCGTTTGCCTTGCACATGGCCAGCCCGGCAGACTGATGTTCAATTCTTTCGCCCCTCTCGGAGAGCCTGGCAAGCTACCTAGAGTATCTCGCCAGCACAGCAAAGACTCGCAAGCTCCCGGTGATGTATTCGATATGCCAAACACAGTAACAAGTGTCACAATGGAGACGTTACTAGGCCCGCTAGAGCAAATCGATGAACGGGAGTGACAGTGACAGTGACATAGTCATTAAAGAGCATAAACATATAATTGGGTTTATATTTTGGCCCTTATCACCCTAATTTATATGACAGAAAATATTTCTAATATAAAATCTATTCCATTATATAAAAAATATGGTAACATTTCATAGGATTATTAAAAAGCTAAATGAAGTTGTTTGTACATTATCTGATATATAGAAATAATAAATGGCAGCTATCATTGGTGGCCAGAGGGATGGTAAAGTGGGTTGAGCATTTGTCTTGCCCATTGGAGACATGGGGTTTGATCCCTGGCACCCGATACGGTCCCCAGAGCCCACCGAGTTATGCCTGAGCACAGAGCCAGTAGTAAACCCTGAGCAACTAACCCCACCACTCCCCCGGCAAAAATAGCTATTATATAACTACTCTCATTTCTCTTATCTTCTTCCAAGTCACCCTGCTTGCTGCTGCAGGACTGAAAAATCCAGTTATCTTCCTTGCTTGGTTACTCCTGCCCCCACTATTATTTATAAGTTCTGATATGTTATCCAAGGCTATTCATTTGTTCTTTCACAAGTCCATATACATTATCCTTGAGTCACATGTGCTCTACCCCCAAATACAGTAAAACTTTTTCTTTCATGATTTCTTGCAAATTGTTTACCAAGAAACTCTACCCTTTAATGCCCTGTTTAACTCATATCTAACATATTCTTTATGTGTTGTTAACCCTCAGCACTTATCCATACCATAGAAAAATTATATTGCTTCAAGTTGACTGATTTTTGTCCCCCCAGACTGCATGTTTCTTGAGGGCAAGAACTATAAGGACTATATACCTGTCTGTATCCCTAGCACCTGCATCGAGCCTAGCATTTTATAGGAGCTCCACATGTTTATTGAGTTAATGGATAAATATTTCTTGTATGAGTAGAAATTTGACCTATTCTTTTACTACTTCTATAACATTCAGTATCTATACCTATACATAGTCCTTTATCAAAATCCCTCTATTGTCTACCCCTTCTCCCAACAGAGTCAAACACCCCAGCCAAAATCTCTGTTGCCGAGGCAGTCACCGGAATCTGGGACTTGTCCAACAAGAAGGGGTGGAACAGAAGACAATGGTCTCAGTGTGGGCCTTGACCAATGCCAGTGTTGAAATCAGTGTCCACCCCAAAATCCCAGAAAATGTTGCTGTCTACTTATTCAGAACCTAATCTTCAGTATAATGAGAGGAAAATATATATTAAGACCATTTCCTTACGTATGACTAGGTTTCATAGCTGCTTTTATCACCTTCCTACCCCTACACTTGCACCAAAGGAAACAAACAGGCATAATAGTTTTATAGTGACTGGATAAAACAAATGACACTTCTTCTCTGAAGTTCTCCACACTAAAATTAAGGCTCCATTCACTTATTTTGAGTGAGAAAAGAACAAGAACTTTTTTTAAATTTCCTTTAATAGTAAATTTTGAAAGTCACTGAGCTGCTACAGGCACAATTAGAAAGCATAAGAAAAAAAAGTAAATGAGAAACAGCAAGATACAGATATATCCTTCACTCTACAATAAGTACAGAGTTTTACTAGTGTCTTCCCAATAGGATACTATAGGAGGCCTAGCTCACCATGGGGTAAGGAATGCTGTTTATTATGCAGAGGGATCAAATGTCCCCCGTATAGTGATGTCAAATTAAGTGTGTTCAGAGACTGTTGAGATCAAGGTCTATTGTTCGGGACCTTAGCTTGAGAGGGGGTTGGTCACTCTTGCCCTCTTCAAGGCTGTGCTGCATCCCATAGCCAAAGTAGATAGCATAACCTAATGAGAAAAATATAGTTATGAGGTAGGGAAAGAGAGAACTACAAAGGCTTAAATAAGCATCCTACTCAAGATCAAGTAGGAAAGGGTTTGGGATAGAATATCCAAGAAGCCTCCTCTTCCCAAGAGTGTACCTACCAATCAGCATCCAGATCGCAAATCGGGCCCAGGTACCAGTTGTCATCTGCATCATAAGGTAAATATTCACAAACATGCTCACGACTGGGAGGAAAGGCAAGGCAGGTACCTGGAAATGAAACAAAATCTTTGTAATACCACAGGATAAGAATGGCCTAGAAAAAGATCCCTAACTTACCCAGGCCAGGTTTAAGAAGTATCCAGTTCCTACTCATGTTATGTATTTCAGAGCCCACTCATTTAGTGTACCTCATCAGAACTCCAAAAATACATAATTGAGGGAAACATGACGGAAAAGGAAGTAAAGAAATCAGAGAAGCTGCTTACCTAGACATATATCTCTTCCTTTTCATTTGTTATTAGATAAACAAGTTATCCAGTGCTTATTCTTTCAAGATGGATTAGTTGAAGAAAAGATGGCCATTTACCTTAAAGTGCAGGGGAGTAGAGTTCTGTGACTGTCTGTAGATGACTCCAGTGAACCCAGTAATGAGCATCAGAAGCAGCACAATCACTACAATCCATATTGGGTCTCCAGAAAGCAGTGGAGCTGACCACTGCGCCAGCACAAGGCCAAGCATAGTCAGCACTAGAGCTTCAAGAATAAAATAGAGAAACATGAAAAACAACACTTCAGCCTAACACATTAGGCACCCCATTCCAAGGATGGTCACCACCCACTCTAATTTTTTCTCAGCTATCAAAGGTCACACATACTTTCCTTGCCATCTTGACTACCTCAGAACTATCCCAGATTAAAACTACACTGCTCACCAAGCAGTGAGGAACAAACATAGACAACTTGGCCAGAGAGTGGAGTAGGAGTGGAGTTGAGTGGGCAAAATAGTGCCTCCAGGGTCAGCTTCTCTGCTTCACGTAGGTTCTCATCCTGTGACTCTGTATCATCTTCTCCATTCTTCATCTCCTGGTCAGGCTGATATCTGACATAAGAGTTAGAAAACTGTATTAAGATCAACCCTTAGTCACTTTACCATCTTCTCTCAGGACACTTAATCTTCTTCATAGCCATTAATGGTATAAGTTGTTTTTGACAGGGAGGAGTATCCTGGTTCCTCAAGAAAAGTCAGTATGGGAGCCAAAGAACAGTACAAAGAATAGTACAGTACAGTGTATAGGGTTTTGCTTAAAAGCAACTGACTTAGGCTTATCCTCAGCACTGCAATTACAGATCCCTGAGCATAGAGCCAGGAGTAAATTCTCAGCACTGCCAGGTGTGATTAAAAAAAAGATGCAGACTAACAGTGATGAAGGCAAAGAAGAAAGAAGCTCCGCTTCATTCCTTATCCAAAAATACTCAAAGCACTTTATATGGAAGAAGGGACTCTTACCTGAGGATAAGAACACAAATAGCCACCAAAGTGTAAGCAAGCAGGGTCCCAATTGACATCAGGTCCACAAGATCAGTTAGTTCAAAGAGGAATGCCATGAGTGCTGAAATTGATGGAAAAAATAACACGAAGAAATGAGAGAAGCAAGAGTCAATTTAAGGGAGATGGAGAAATAACTGGAAGAAGGGCAAAGACTGTTCTTTACCTGAGAGAATGCCAGAGACAATAGTGGCCACAATGGGGGTGTGTGTACCAGTGTGGATCCGGGCAAGGACACTAAACAGGAGGCCATCTTCTGCCATTGCATAGATCACTCGAGGCATAGGGAACATGGAGCCCAAGAGACTGGAGAGAAGAATTCCATAGTGATATGAGTAACTGGGGTCATTCTCTCAAGTCTGTGTGATTAAGAAGGACCCACCTTCCCATAGCTCTTGTAAGAGATATTCTTTAGGAATAAATGCTATAACCTTAGACTTTTTGAAAGCAGAAGACAAACATTTGTCACTGACCTAGTAGAAAGTGCACAAAGCGAGCCAATAGCCACAATGTAGCGGGCAGAGGACCATCCAACATGGAGAAATGCTGCAGGCAGGGGGCTCTCCGGTTGAAGCAGGTAGTATGGCATCATGAGCGTGAGTGCTGATGAGACACCAAAGTATGCGAAAAAGCAGACTGACAGTGAGATCACAATGCCCATGGGGATGGAACGCTGAGGATTCTGGGCCTCTTCCCCTGCGGGATGGGATACAAGATTATGAGGCAGGGAGATACTCACTCCTCTACTACCCCCAAGGCTTCTTGTAGCTTGAACAAACCCCATACAGAATACAATGTGTTACCGGTAGTAGCAATACAGTCGAAACCAACAAATGCATAGAAACAGGTTGCTGTTCCCCGGAGAAGCCCCTCGAAGCCAAAAGGTAGAAATCCTCCAGAGCCCAGAGGTCCCAAGCTAAAGTAAAAGACAGGATAGAAATGTAAGGATGAGGTCAGTCAACCCTGTGCCTTTTATTTAATTTCAATTTACTTAGGTAAATCTCCAAGGCCCATTTCCCCACTCCCAATCCAGAATCACTTAGCATAGCTCCCCCCACAACTCCATATCATTTTTCCAGTTCTACAACTCCTGGTAGTGAATCTAACCTATCAGTGTCATTGAGTCCATCCTTAGCCACTTCATAGTCCTCTTCTGTGAGCGTCCAGTTGTTCAAGTCTCCTTTGATGATGCCAGAGATAATGATGAAACCAAGAACCAAAAGATTCACCACTGTGAAAACTTTGGTAACAAGGGCCGACTCACTAGCCCCCAGAGCAAGCAATCCTGTAAGAGATAGGCATCAAGAAGCCCGAGGTCATTCCTTCCAAGCTGTTTCTTACCTAGATCCAGTACACACAGCTCTTATCAATTATCAGACCTCCCACCCACTGTCTGTCATTATCTTTATCCTTGCCCCTGGCCTCACCAGTGAGCAGCAACACAAGGCCCAGGGCAAAGAAGTCTGGATATTTTGCAAGGACTTGGGGTGCATTAAGTGAGATGCTCCCCTGCAGGGCCCGAGATATGTGGTTGCCAATCAGATTGTCAAAAGCTGAGCTCCAGGCCTTGGCCACACTGGCTGTACCTGGGGAGCAAAGGGAGAAAGCGTTAAATTCCCTCCCTCCCCAGCACTCCCACACCCACACTCCCTCAAGAACCTTGCTATTTTCTCCCATTCTTACTTTTTGTTGTTACATTTATCTTCTAAATGGGGGAGGGGTGAACATTCTTGTTTTATGAAGAAACAAAACCAGTCAATTAAGGAAACCAAGGCAGAGGTAAATAGAAAAATTCTTCAACCATCACAGGCGTACGCTCCCCCCGAAACACAGTTAAGGGTCTTGAAGTTCTATTAATGATGAATACCTCGTGCTTCACTAGTTCACCAAGACTTCTAGACCCCAAGCCCCTTCACCCATGATTCCCCCCCATATACAGATACATACACACAGACACACACAGGCACACACAGAGACACACAGAGACACACACACCATCTCACCTATGACGTAGGAAAGGATGAGGTTCCAGCCAGTGGTAAAGGCCCAGAGTTCACCCACAGTGACATAACTGTAGAGATACGCAGAACCAGAGCGGGGAACCCGGGCACCAAACTCTGCATAGCACAGTCCAGCCAACACAGAAGATAGGGCAGCCACCAAAAAGCAAATCACAATGGATGGTCCTGCTTTATCTTTGGCAACCTCACCAGCCAAAACATACACGCCTGCACCCAATGTGCTGCCCACACCCAAGGCAACCAAATCCAGAGTGCTCAGGCATCTGGCAAGGCGAGTCTCAGCCAAGCCTGACTCCAGTGTGCGTCTGCGTACCAGCCTTCGACCAAATCTGCGAAGTGCCTGCCACAGCATTCTGGCAGGAATTGAAGAGGATGTTAGGATCTGGTGAAAAAACAAGACAAAAGACCTTCCTTCAATGGAGCTCATTATCCCTAAGCTTGAAGGATGAATTACAAAACCCATCCCTTGAGCAAAGGAGCAGGGGGGATGGGGAGGAGAGGAAGGGACAAAGACAAGTTTCTTCCTGTCCAAGTAGGAATAACAATACCTCAGCAGGTTTGTAAGTCTCTTTTCAGAAGAGGCAAGTGCCCGCCCCCTATAGTACGGTTTAGTCGCTTACTCTCTTCTTTCTCTGCCTGGGAAACTATATGAACCCAGATCAGAAATCGCGGAACCCAATCTATCTGTTCTCTCCTTGTGACTCCTAGAGAATTACACTCAGGAGGGGTCAGCAATCTAAGGAGAACCCCCCCCCCACCACCACCACCACACTCGTTGACGCTCTCACAGCGGGCATGAAATAGACAAAGTCACTAGATAGTCTGGAGGGAGGGGGAGGCTCGGGACGGACCTCTGCTGCTGATCAAAAGTGAGCGAAGACTCAATTCCCTCCCTGCTCACCAAATTCACACCGCGTAACGGACACTGCGGTCGCAAAAGGGAGTAAGCAAATGTTTGCCCACTATCATCCTCCCAGCGACACTGACCACCAGCAGTGAAACGGGGTTTCTCTACCTAAAGATATGGAGACGCGCCCCAAGAGGGACCCTTGAACAGCCCCAAATCGCTCACACCAGAAAGGAGGGGTGCCGCCCTGCGCCCCCTAACTCAACTCCCAGGCTCTCATGTCTCCGTTTAGAAACGGTCTGGGGGTTAAGATGAAGATGGGAGCCTGGGCTCCTCTGGCCGGGGTCTCGTCAGCAACAGGTCATGGCCGCGTAGATGCAACTGCATGCCAGGATTGCCGGAGAATTCTAGGTATGCCCTGACCCTCGCCATCCCGCTCCAGCACATGTGTCCTCCCGCAAGGCTTACCAGAGAGCTGTTGCAAGCACAGGCAGCAGAGTCCCGGATCGGGTTCGGTGGGGCTGAGTTAAACCGAGTTGGGTGGGGATGCCGAGTTCGGTTGCTCAGGATTCAAAGCAGCAGCTTGAGGTCGTTGCGCGCCAAGCTCCAGCTTATATATTCCGGGAGGCGGAGCCGGTAGCGTCATAGAATCCCACCCCCAAGCCTCTCTCTCTCTCTCTCTCTCTCTCTCTCTCTCTCTCTCTCTCTCTCTCTCTCTCTCTCTGTTTCTCTCTTCTCTTCCATCTCGCTCTCTTCTCTCCCTTTAATCTCTCTCCTTGCCTCCCTCTCTCTCCCTCCCAAACCTCCTTCTCTCTCACCCTTTCCCTCCGCCTGTCTGTGTCTGTCTGTGTGTCTGTCCGTGTGTCTGTCTTTCTACACACACACAAACACATACACACACACGCGCACACGCACGGGCGCGCGCGCGCAGGAACACTCTCTCAAATTCACACTCATCGACTAGGCTTTGCAAAAGAAATTATGCAGAGCCTGAAACTGCTTTTTCTTTGGAACACCAAGACCGCTGTGACAGGCATCGGAAAGCGGGGCGAGCAGCCTTTTCTGATTTTCCTCTATTAGCAGGACAAAAGAGACTTCCTACTGGATTTTCTACCTTAATAGTCAGGATCTAAGATTGGAGGAGGGCTGGTAGGTAAAGACGGGAAAACAGCACTGGGAGTCTCCACCTGCCTCGGGTCTTCCTTAGCTTTCTTTTCTACAAGAGATGTCCTCACCCCTGAAACCTTATCCATGGAACTTAGCTAGATTTTGTTCAGCAGTAACTACTCATCACTAACCCTCAACTGGATGTTTCTAATGCAGTCAGCAAGAGAATGAAAAATAACTCTGTCACTAACTGTACACAGTTCATTTTAAAAATTGAAATATAGGACTGGAGAGATAGTACAGGGGATAAGATTCTTTGCATCCGATTCACCTTGGTTCAAATCCCCTGATTGCATATATTCTCTTGAGGGTTGCCAGGAATTCACTACTGACACAGTCAGTAATAGCTCCTGAGCGCCACTAGGTGTGGTCCCGAAAGCAAAGAAAAAAATTGATCTATAACTGGAATACATTATTTTAGTCTTGGGTGCACAAAATAATGACTAGACATTTGTGTGCATTGCTAATGATCAATAGACAGTGAGTCTATTTGCTTCCTCTTTTTAATAATGGTATCATTTGTAATGATACTGTTTATCATAGTCCTTATGATATACTCATATATTGATGTATTTATTCTGTAGCTGGAAGTTTGTACCTCTTGATCCCCTTCACCCATTTAGCTTACCCCCAGTTCTCCAGCCCTCTAATAACCACACTTCTGTTTTCTGTCTCTGTGATTTTTATTTTGTTTAGTTTTATTTTTCACATCTTACATGTAAGTGAAATCATATGGTACTTGTCACTCTCTGTACACAGACAATCCCTTTGAAATTCTAAGCTCTATATTGCACATGCCTATAAACGTTATACTACTAAATATGAAATTCTGGCAATACTGAAATATTGGAGGAGGGAACTTATTTAATTCTGTTTTACTAAATAGAAATCTGAGGCTCAAAAGCATGACTTGCCTGACATTACACCATAAATTTTTCCTACCACCTTGTTGATAAACTTGCCTGTTGTATTCAGTGCCTACCTCCTGTAGGGATCATGCCTCATTTAAATGATCAAGAGCAAGTTATAGTAGCAATCAAATCAAATAAGAATAATCACCATCACTGAATCCAACCCTTTCAGGATATACCTCAATAACTTTGTTTCCATTCATCAATCTTTTATGACTACTCCTAAATCATATTTGAAATAATTTGTATTTTCAGCCAGTTGCAGCTCCATGTAGACATTCCTTAAGTATTTTGGGGCACTGACCGTATATAATAGTTAATGTAACACAATGAAGAAACTACAAAGGAAACATAAAATCCTTTACCTACTACTACTAAAAATCCACTTACGAAGGGCAAGAGAGATAATACAGTGAGTAAGGTACTTGAATCGCATGAGACCAATCCAGGTTTAATCCCAGCACTGCATATGGTCCCCCTAGGAAAGATCTCTGAGCATAGAGCCAGGAGTAGTCACTAAACATCATTGGGTGTGGTCCCAACCACCAATAAAATATAATTGGAGGAGAGAGAGATAGTACAGGGCTCAAGGTACTTGCCTTGCATGTAGTCAATCTGGTTTGATCCTAAGCATGGCATACAGTCTCCTCAGCACCTCCAAGAGTGATCCCTGAACACAGAGCAAAGAGCAAGCCTAAAAGTCCCCCAAATAATTTTTAATTAACAATAATCTATCTAGGGAAAGAAAAAACACAATCACAAGAATAGTGTACAATGGTTAGAAGTGAAGTCTTTGACGCTAAACCTAGGTTAAATTCACAGGTTTCCCTCTGTGGCTTTAAAGAAATATGTAATATCTTTTGAGTCTCAGTTTCTAAATGTAAAATACACATTTCTAAGGATTGTTGTGATGCATACACAAGTAAAGTAAATTCTTCCTGTTTGGCACATGGAAAACTATAAAAGCTTGACGGGGTCTGGAAGATAACAAAGTGGGCTGAACACATGCTTTGCATGCAAGAGGTCTGGGGTTTTATCCCTGGCATCACATGGTCCCCTGAGTACTGCTGGGAGAGACACCCATTACAGAGCTGGGAGTAGCTTCAAAGCATTGCAGGTTGAGGCTCAAACATCTCCAACAAGAAATAACAGAAAATACCTTGATACATATTTAAAATAATGCATCAGAAGCATATATATATGATAAAGATTTGATTGTTTAAATTTAGGTGAAGAATTTGATATGATTAGTTGGCAAATGGCCATTGTAAATATTTTAGGAAATAAGTCATCAGAGCAAATTAGACTTTTATAAAGAAAGGGAACTTTTCACTTTTATAAATTGAAAGGGAACTTTTCAACTTTTATAAATTGAAAGGGAAGGAAGTTGACAAAGACTTGAAAGATAATAGGTAGATGAGCTCTAACAATACAAAGAGGCATGTGGCAAAGTCAATACCCCAGGGAGGGGTGGGGGAGGCCAACCTAGCAAGTACAGTGTGTCTGTTCCTCTCCTTCTGATTAATTTCACTCAGCGTGATACTCTCCAACCCCATCCACGGCAGTAAATTTCATTATTTCATTTTTTTCTCACCACCTAGTAGCATTCCATTGGGCATAAGTACCACTGTTTCTTTATTCAGTTATCTGATCTTGGACACCTGAGTTGTTTCCAGATTTGGGCTACTGTGAACAGTGCTTCAATAAACACAGGAGTACAAATGTCTTTTCTAAATTGATTTTTTCAACCCTTAGAATCCAAAGGCTCAGAAGTGGAATTTCAGGGTTATATGGAAGCTGAATTCCTAGTTTTTTGAGAAGTTCCCACTTGGTTTTCCAAAAAGGTTAGACCAGTTGACATTCCCATCAACAGTAAATAAAGGTCCCTCATCCCGACATCCCTACCAACACTGATTGTTTTTCATCTTTATAGTGTGTAACAGTCTCACTGGTGTGAGGTAATATCTCATTGTTTTGATTTGAATCTCCATGATGACAAGTGACATAGAGCATTTTTATATATCATTTGGGCATCTGTCTTCTTTAACAGGTTTTTGTTCATCTCTTCCCCTTGTTTTTGAATAGTATTGGTTTCTGTGTTTCTTTTTCTTTTAAGAGTTCTACTAGTGTTTTATATATATATGTATATATAGTGTTGAAACATTGTACAATCATAAACAGCTTAACTTTGTGTATCATGGTGATACAATAAAATTTTAAATTTAAAAAAGAAATCAAGGCTTTCCTACATATGCAAATAACTCAATAGAAGTGCAAGAAATTTAAAATTTAATGCAATTCACAATTGTGCCTCAGAAAATCAAGTGCCTGGAAATCAGCTTAACAAAACGATGAAGATTTATTCAAAGAAAACCATAAAACGTTGTTAAAAGAGGACTTTAGGAAATGGAATCACTTCCCCTGTTCTCAGATTCAAAGATTAATATTGTCAAAATGACAATCTTTCCCAAAGCAGTATAAAATTCAATGTAGTCCCTATAAAAAAAACAAAACATGACAGGGACTGAGTAGGTAGTTTAGGGGATAATTCACTACCTTTCATGTGACCAACCAATTTTGATTCCCCAGTACCATATATGGTCCCCTGAGGCCTGTCAGAAGTATTTCCTGAGTGCAGATCCACAAATAAGCCTGAGCACTGCCAATGTAACCACAAAATAAAAACAAACCAAAAAAATTATACTCGTGAAATTTTAAAAGGCATAGGCTAAACTCTGTTGGGATTTATATGGAATAAAAAAATCAGAATAGCCAAAGCAATCATAGGGGGAAAAGATGTGATACCTTCTCCTTTCCTAGTTATAAATTGTACAATAACATGGTAGTTATTAAAACAGTGTGGTAGTGAAATAAAGAGAGAATCTCAGACCATCGAAATAGAATTGAGAGTACAGAGATAGATCCACAGGTATATACCAGTTAATCATCAATAAAGGAGGAGAAAAGAAAAAAAGAAGGAGAAGTGGAACAAGGAAAACATCTTCAACAAATAGTGCCGAGAAAATTGGTCTGTAACATAAAAAAAGAAACTTAGATCACTTTCTAACACCATGCACAAAAGGTTAGGTGTTTTAAGTGCCATTTTTGACTTGCAGTATTTTCAACTGAATGTGGGATTGTCAGCACATAATCC